AATAAACTTGATGCTAATTGACCAAGTATAACAAGCATTAAACTTGATGATATTGTTAATATTGTAACTAAAAGTGCAAAATATCGACCACCAAATAGAGTTTCAAGTTGTTGTCCTTTATATAAAAATGATGCCATATTATAATATAAATGCATATCATCACCATGAAAAAATGGTGCAAGTAAAATACGCATATAATCTCCTTGATCAAGTACAGCATGTGTACTAACACAAACTGATTGTAAATTATTTGATAAACCAAATAATGGAAATATATCAAAATAAATTAATACATTAAGAATAATAATTATAAGTGTTATTGGTGGTAAATGTGATGAACGACTTAATTCAGCAAGCAGAAGTATAATACCATAATAAGATCTATTTGTTTGCTGATAATGAGTATGTCTTGAACGACTACTAAACATCTAAAAAATAAGGATAAATGATGTTCCATAAGTAACGACTTCCTTTTTGTTTTCTTTCCATCTTTATCGTATTCCACCGTAGACAAATATTCAATTTAGATTTTTAAAGAGCATCATCTAAGCTATCAATCAAAAAGAAATTGTTTAAATTTGCATGAACTTTAAGAGAGAACTACATCGATAAAAATTTTGTCAAATGCATTTTTTACTTTTTGTCTATAAAGGACTAGCTTGTCAGTATTTTGTGAATATCTCTCTTATTTTCTGATGATTTAACTTAAATTTTTTTTTTCAAAAGATCTCTTCAAAATGATAACTAGAAAACCATATCTGATCGGAAGTGCTACACTCCAAAAAACTTCACTTTCACAGAGACTATTTTTACAATAGTAATTATTTCTCATCTCCGGAAGAAATAGGTTTCATGTCATTCTCAGTTATTATTTTGAAGAGGTACTTTTTATTGGGTTTTGTAGAGAATTACACGGGCTATCTTTTGAAAAAAAACTTTAAGTTAAACCATCAGGAAATAAGGGAGATATTCACAAAATACTGACAAGGTACTCCCTTATAGACAAAAAGTAAAAAATGCATTTGACAAAATTTTTATCAATGTAGTTCTCTCTTAGAGTTCATGCAAATTTAAACAATTTATTTTTTGATTGATAGCTTAGATGATGTTCTTTAAAAATCTATATTGAATATCTGTCCACGGTGGAATACGAAAGATAACAGAAAGGGGGTCGTTACTTATGGAACACTCTTTATTATAATATATTTATTTGACAAAACAAAAATAAGAAAATGATTATTAACAAGAAGATATTGTTGATTTATTACGAAAAGATAATGTTGGTAATTGATCATCCGGTGGTAAACATAAATTAATTGCACGCATTCGATTAGCTAATTCAGTTAATGATTGATCAAGACGTTTTAAAGATGTTGCAACATCACGTAATTTTTTTGATTGTTCACAATATCCATGGAAACGTTTTTGTTTATCAATAAGACGTTGTTGTACAGCATTTGAACGTGTATCAACTTCTTTCATACGATTTATTATTTGTGTTTGTTCATTTTGAACAATTTCAGCACAAAAACGAAAATGTATTTGTAAACGTGTAGATAATTGTAAAAGCTAAATAAAAAAAAATGACTCTATGAAAATAACTTTAGACTGAATCTTCTAGACTCGATGAAACTTTTAATATAAACGATATTGTTTTAGAAACAATGGATCAATCGTTTGGGACTCTCTAAAAATCAGCTTCTCAGCAACTTATCTAAACATCTCATCTTTCGATTTCAATGATTAGAAATTAAAATACGTTCTCTTTTAAAAAATACATAAGTATACAAAATTGTCGATTTTATTTTTCAAATAAGCTTATAGTCTCTCAACCGTCCAATTACGACTGTCAGAAAGCAAAACAATTATTAAAAATATTTTTAAATAACAACTCTGCCGAAATTCGAACTATGCTGCAAGATACTCTATGAAATTCTAAAACAAAATCCCACCAGGTGTTAGTTATAAGCTGACCGAAAAACAATAGGAGATCACAGTTGAACATCTGTCATTCTGTTCAGTTTTTCACCGACAAGAAAAATTTATTCGAAAGGCAAAGTCGACAGTTTTATAGAGCGAAACATTTTCTATCGAATGAGCCTAAAAAGAGAGAAACATACGTTAAAAGTAACAGCCAATTATGGCTTGATTATCATAAGATCATCGTTTAGATTGTCTAAGAAATGTGTAGGATGTGTTAATAGCAGAACATTTCATTGAAATTATGAGTCCGATTCGCGTTCAAAAATATTCAACTCGATGGATTCTAATTTATAAAATATTTCAACATACATGATAGAGTTTATTCATTAGGCATTTATCGACACTATGATAGTTTATTAATTACTAGACTCAGTACAATGAATTGTGTACAATCATATATGTTAGTAATTTGTCGACTTCTTCTCTCATTCTTAATTCTTACCGGTCCATTCTCAAGATGTGGTATTTGTGTTGGATCATTTTGTTGATTAATTGATGAACGAAGAATAGGTAAAAATTTTGGAATAGCTACTAATTTATTTAAATCACTATCATCTAATACAGATGAATTTGATGCTGTTGTATTCGAACCAGTTGCAGTTGTTGGACCAGAATTAACAACAGTTATATTTGGATGATAGACTGGTGCTATAGAAGATATTCAATCAAAACAAATATTATCCCTCTTGCTCATGTTTTACTTTTCGAAGTTGTTGATGTATTCGAACTAGTTCCTGTCGATTGTTCATTTCCCATAATTAAAAAAAAAATAATCTAAAATGAGTAAAATCGATCGAAAGTCCGATCAGTATTTGTTTTAAAATTCTTCAACTATGTTTTTAGATTGATAAGATTATTTCTTTGTTTGTAGTTCTTCTTGTTTCTGTTTTATTTTCTCCTTATTAAATGTTTATAAAAAACAAAAACAGATGAGAATGCAGCACACAACGTTTGCTAAATAAAAACAAATTATAAATCTGTTTAACGTTGAGTGCCTTTTTTTGGACCCATTTTTGGTATATTCTTTTGAATTTTTTCTGGTTTTTTTACTGGTTTACCAGCCTAAAAAAAAAT